TCTTCTCTTATCTTAAGTGCTTTTTCGTTAAATTCAAGTGCTTTGGAATAGTCACCCATCGAATTATACACCCAACCGATGCTGTGGTAAGATGCAGCCAAATTACACTGATCCGAAGGTTGAGATTCTTCTCTTATCTTAAGTGCTTTTTTGTAATAATCAAGCGCTTTTGAACTGGACCATTCAAGTGTAACATCATCAAATGTTTTACGAATTCGAGTCCTCGATCTTCCTTCCCCGTCTTAAGTAATCAATATTTACAGTGTATACCCATCCAAAATATCATGGGACCAATCAAAAGTTGACTTCTCTCCCTAAGATTAATTACGTAATACTTCAATGACTCCATAGTCACCCATCGAATCATACACCAAACCAATATTGTTGTACGAAGTAGCCAAATCCGGATGATTTGGAGGAAGAACATTTTTGTAGATTTGATTTGCCTTCTTGTGAAAATCGAGAGCTTTTGAGTATTCACTCATGTTATTATACACTATGCCAATGTTGTTGTACGAATGAGCCATGTCACGCTGATTTGGAGGCTGTAGTTCTTCTCTTATCTTAAGTGCTTTTTCGTTAAATTCAAGTGCTTTGGAATAGTCACCCATCGAATTATACACCCAACCGATGCTGTGGTAAGATGCAGCCAAATTACACTGATCCAAAGGTTGAGATTCTTGTTTTATCTTAAGTGATTTTTCGTAATAGTCAAGTGCTTTCGAGTATTCACCCATGTTTTCATGCACTATACCAATACTTTCATACGCAAGAACTAAAATAACATGATTACGAGGTTGAGATTCCTCTGCTACTTTTACTGCTTTTTCGTTAAACTCAAGTGCTTCCGAGTAATTTTTCATATTACTAGCCAGAAGACCAATGATGTTGTAGGAAAAAGCCAAAACAAGATGATTCGGAGGCACAGCTTTTTCTTTCATTATTAATGCCTTCTTGAAAACTTCCATTGCTTTCGAGTAGTCACCTACGTCGGTGTATGCTCCACCGAGGTTTTGGTAGGAAGTGGCTAAATCAGGATGGTTTGCAGGAAGAGATTCTTCTCTTATTTTCACTGCTTTTGTGTAAAAATCAATCGCTTTCGTATAGTTCCCCATACAACTGTATATCCAACCGATGTTGTTGTACGAAGTACCAAGATCAACATGATTCGAAGGCAGACATTCTAGTCTGATATCAAATGCTTTCTCATAAAATTGGAGGGCATTCGAGTAGTCAGCCATATTGTCATACGCTACACCGATGTTATGATAGGAAGTAGCCAAATCTGGATGATTTTGGGGAAGATTTTCTATTCTTATATTAAGCGCTTTCTCATGAAAGCGAACCGCTTCAGAATAGTTACACATCGCATTATACACCCAACCAATTGAGTGATAGGAAAGAGCCAATTCACTATGATTTTCAGGTAACGATTTTTGTCTTAATAAGCGTGCTTTTTCGTAAAATTTAAGTCCCTTTGGATAATCGCCCATGATTTGATATATTGCAGCGATACTGTTGTAGGACATCGTCAGATCTGGATGACCGTTTGGAAGAGCTTTTTTATAGATTTTATGAGCTTTTTTGTAAAATTCGAGGGCCTTGGAGTTGTCATCCAAAAGTTGATGCACGAACGCAATGTTGCTATAGGAGAGAGCCAAATCAGGATGGTTCGCAGACAATGCTTTCTCTCGTATTTTCCGTGCTTTTTCGTGAAACTCAAGAGCTTTTGAGTAGTTACCCATTGAAGTATACAACGAGCCAATATTGTTATAGGAAATAGCTAAATTTGGGTGATTTGAAGGCATGGTTTTTTCCCAAATTCTCTTCGCTTGTTCATGAAACTCTAGTGACTTTGAGTTATCACCCATGTTGTCCCATACGAGAGCAATATTGTTGTAGGTTGTAGCCAGATCTGGATGATCTGGAGAGAAAACTTTTTTTCTAATTATGAATGCTTTCTCGTAGTACTCAAGCGCTGTTGAATAGTCATTCATTGCGAAGTACACTAAACCCATGTTATTATAGGAATCTGCAAGATCTGGGTGGTTTAGAGGTAGACATTTTTGAGATATTTCATGTGCTTTTTTATAAAACTCAAGTGCTTTGGAGTAGTCACCCATTGCTTTATGCACACTACCGATGCTGGCGTATGAGTAGCTTAGGTCTGGGTGATTCATGGGTAAAATTTTCTGTCGTATTTCATCTGCTTTTTGGTAAAATTCCAGTGCTTTCAAGTAATCACCCATAGAACTATACACATCACCGATGTTGTTATAAGAGATAGCCAAATAAGGGTGATTCGAAGACAAAGCCAACGTTCGTATTTTATGTGCTTTTTCATAGAAATCCAGTGCTTTTGAATAGTCGGCTGTTTTATGAAACACTAGAGCCATGTTCGTGTAGGAAACAGCTAAATCGGGATGATTTGGAGGGCGAGCTTTTTCATATATTTGATGTGCTTTCTGGTAAAATTCAAGTGCTTTTAAATATTCACCCATAGACCTATATACCCAACCGATGCTCCCGTAGAAATGACCCAGTTCAGGATAGGTCGGGGGGAAAGTCTTTTCGTAGATTTTCTTTGCTTTTTCGTAAAACTGAATTGCTTTGGAATAGTCACCCATGTGAGTATACACATGACCAATCTTGTGGTAGGCAGTAGCAAAATCTGAATGAGTCTGTGGCAGAGATATCTCCGATATTTTAAGTGCTTCTTCGTAAAAGTCAAGTGCTTTCGAGTAGTCGCTTAGATCATGGTATATATCTCCGATCTGAGTGTAGATTGGAGTCAGTTCTTTTTTGTTTTGTAGACTTTTTCGTTTGGTTTCAAGAGATTTATTTTGAAATGAAAGTGCTTCATTGTATGCTCCTTGCCATTGCTTCACCAATCCAAGCTGGTAGTTTATATCTGCTCTTTCATTGTCATTAAAACAGTTCTTGAGTAATTCATTGTACAATTCTTCAGCTTGATTAAAATAACCAGCCATGAGCAGCACTTGACCCATTCGATACCATCCAGTACCGGTGATTTCCTCTCGTATGCGATTGCTGAGAGCAGACATTGAGGAGTCTTTATCATCTGTGAGTGTTAGTTGTGCTGTCCACAGGCGACTGTTGTTTACTGTTTGTTCGATTTCACCAACTCGAAAAACGGTATGCATAGAAAAAAGAATTTCGCTCTCGCTTTCAATAGCACTGTATTGGTCGATTACTGCAAAAGGGGTAAGAGATGCCGAAATTTTAGATGGATCGATGTTCATTACGAAAAGAACACCCACAATCTCATTATTTTTTGCTAATGAACGTTCAACAAATTGCATGCCTATCTGTTGTTCTGTACTGGTAGATAGGAAGCTATTGAATGACAAAAGTCCACCTTTCGTTTCTAGTAAACGGTCAAAGTGCTGTTGAGAGAGGCCTTGACCGCGATAAACGGTAAACGGCTTTGTATAGTTACTCGATTGCTTTTGGTACAGCTCTTCCAACTGTCGATGAAGTTTACGAATAAAAAAGCCCATTTTAATCATGCTCTCCATATCAAGCGTGCGTAAAGCTTTGTTGAGCATGCCATAGAGAAAAAATTCATAAGTGTACAACCAGACTGACGATTTTCGATAGTATTCATGTCGAAAAAATTCTAATTGGAATTCAGATACATGTTGTTGTCGACAAAAGATCATTAGGTTGTCGACCGATTTCGCATCATCTTCGTCAATATCCAATATAATTTCTTTAAACAAGACTGAATACATGTATGACGGTTCCAACTGATCAATGTTTCGTTGATCCGATACTGCTTCTGTGATTATCTGCTTCGGAACGAAGCTCATCGGTATTTTATCATGGTCACATTCACGAGCGACCTCTTGCAATTGCTTACATATCGACTTAATTGATGTGGAAACACGTCGAACTTTTAACCAATTTTTGGCCCATTCTTTGTGTTGATCTTTGTTTTTACAGAAAACAAATATAGTATCAAGTTGAGTCATATTATGTATGAGAGGCACAGTCTTCTCTCCAAGCGATCCAGAAGTGATTAAAAAGATTTTTTCATCTGTGATAGTTTTCAAGTATTCGAAACATTGATCAGCATCAGTAAATAGTTCTACTGTGTTAACAATATTTCGCAATTGTGCAAGAGATTTCTTAAAATCTTTCTTGTTCTCGTCGATGTTGGCATCAAGCCAAACTAGAAGAAAATTTTGCACGATTCGTCTAGATGATGATCGAAGAGATGACGATGAAGCTGCAGTAGCAATGGTTGCCGTTGTCGTACTGACGAATTGGTTTAGTGCCATTAATCGCCTTCTGGTATTGTATCCAATGGGGCAGGTGTTGTTGGATGCAAGCGATGTGTTCGTGTCCATATTGTATGCGGCTGTAAACTTTCAATACTCTAAAAATAAATGGATCAATATTATTCTATAGGCGAAATCAGTATGAATGGATGCGGTCTAACGAGAACTCGCCCGTTGCAACATTATGCAGTTGATTACTATATAGATACGCAACAAAAAACTTCAAGATGACATAGGAAAAAATGAATATGATAGGCTGTTCTCAAAATCTAGTGAAACAAGTATGCGTGCCGACTAAATCAGACTGACTTTTCCAAAACCTTGACTGCAAAATAATGAAAGTCCATCTACTCAGTTCAGTTTCAAAGTGTCAATGAAATATCCACCAACTTCCGCAGTAACAGAGTTTAGATATTAACTATTCAAGACAAGCAGAAAGACGTTTGATTCAATTGAACGTATTCATGTGAATAATATAGTGCTGATAGACTAAATTTTTTTACTAATCAAGTCCAAAATTAACAAGATATCAACAGTTTCTTATTCATTGGTAATATTCTTCACATTCAAAAACTATCATTTGTACTTTCATATATTGATAAATTTTATTCATAGGAAAAGAATCATTTTCGTGTCATTTCCTCTCATGTCTACTCTTGTGAATGTTTCAGTATCACGATCACTCATTTAATAATAGCTAAATCAAAATTTCGTCAAGTATTTTGTACGATTCTTTGGCCTCTATTATGTGTAATATGTGTTATGAAACTACGAAAAAGATTCAGTAATGTAAAATTTTCTAGTTTCTATTTAATAGCTGCTAACTTAGAAAGTTTCGAAAAAAAAAGATTTGTTTTCCATAAATAATTCAAGAAGTTCTCTGCTATCTGTAGAGAGTAAACTTTGGATCAGACGTTTCGAATTTTCCCAATGATGATTCTGATACTGATTGCATCGATATACACAAATAGATTAGAAACAAACGATGAAAAGGTCTTAAATAGTAACCAGCGTGTCTCTCCCTTCTACATTAAAAGATTAAAATATTTGTGCTACTTCATTTCAAAACAGAACATCATCACGGTTTGATTGTAGTTCATACTTCGCTTGTAAATTTTTCTGATTCCTAAGCTACCTTCTACATGTCTTTCACATTGAACTAACGAATGTGACAAAAAACAGTAGTGCCAGCATTTTCACTATAAACCGTCCATATTTATTCATTGAAACTAAATTTAAAGTACGGGTAACAAATATCTTTCTGAGCTAAAAACCATCCATTGTTTTATTTCTATCACCTTTAAGCAGTTTAAAGTCCATAATAAAAAATACTATAGCTTCTATTATACTATCAGACCCACCTATCGAAAAGTAGCTTCTCAATGCAAAATTTGATTTTTATCAAACTTTGATTTGTACGATTGACGGGAACTGATTGAAGAGTACCAATTGATATGATAACTCATGCTTTCTTATTTCTCGAAATGAAATATTTTCAGAAGTTTATTTTCGAAGAAGTCGGGTAGTTATTAGATCTTTTTTTTTAGCATATCAAAGAATACAACTGAAATTTACTCCACGAACTCCTTCATTGGCCTGGTTTTCATTTGCATAAATGCTTTCTCCATGAAGCTTTG